GAAATATCCCGCTCCTTGGGTTTAGGGCATTCTCGGTTTAAGACAAGTTTAAGGCGTTCCCCGTTTAAGACAATCTGGGTTTAGGGAAATTCCAGGTTTAAGGTTATTGCTGCTGGGAATAGGGCGTTCCTGCTGCCTGAGTTCCCGTTGAGTTCTCCTGGAATTGAGAAAGTATTTTGGGACGTGAATTGGTGGGCAGAACTTGGATTTCCCCAGAACGTGATTGTATAGGGCCGGTGTGAGTTCGGGAATAAAGAATTGCTGTTTGAATCTACAAAGCTGTGAGTGGCTCCAGTGCCCAGCCAAGACTGCGGCACTATTCAAATGAGGCAGGTTTCAGGGGGCTGAGTCTATTTTCATGACGTCCACTGTCAGCAGGTTGACATCTGGGTAGGCCACACCCAAGGGCATAGTAAGAGAAGGGGACACACACAAGGCACTTCCATGGAAGATTCTACCCTAAACAGGGCAAGGGATTATATTAAAAGGAACAAGTGAGCATAGCTTCACCCATGGGGCTGTAGCAAGACACAGTCATTCGAACCTTAGAAGAGTAGGGCAATCTAGCAGCGTGGGTGCCACATCACCCAGCAGGGGAATTAACTCAGTCACAAGCRAGGTTGGTCTCCCACAAGAGCTGTTTTCTCAGAAGGTAGTTTGAGGTGGGAGGAGAAAGGGGAATGGGGACAGAAAGAGTTCTTTTTTTTTTTTTTTTTTCAGAAAGAGTTCTGACAGGGTATTTCAATAGTTCTGGTAAAAGAACTAGGAGGACACTAACTGGACAGTGAGATCTGAAGCAGGACCAGTGAGAATGGATGGGACTGATGCAGAAGAGGGAGAAGCCAAAAGTGCCACTAAGGCGACATTTAAATACATTATAAATGTGCTTCATATCTTCTCTTGTTTTCTCAAGAAATAAATCTGAGTTCCCTCTATAAAATGAGGCATTTAAATAGGATGATTTCTGGAGTCTTTTTCAGTTCACATGCCCAGTGAACAGAGCTGCTATCTGCTGTGTCTTTGAAACGGACTTTGTGGAGGAGTAGCCAGGGTGATAACTCAGAGCATTGCTTTGCATCCTGCTTTGCCTCTTTTTGTTCATCCCTACATGCACTGCCTTGAGCTTGAACCTATCATACAAATAGCATCTTAATTTTTGCCTCATTCTCAATGTTTTAGAGGCCCCAGGACCCAGTCAATAAAAAGGCCATAGTGCTGAACTCTTGTATGGAAATCAAAGCAAAAACTATTCAGATAAGTATAGGAAAATCCAGTGATGGTCTAATTTTTCCCTAATGACTGTTTTTCTCCTGATACKATTCTTAGGGAAACATTCAATATCTCAGTATTATTTTTTAAAAAAAACAAATATTTATTTTTTAGGTGTAGATGGACACACAATGCCTTTACTTTTTTATGTGGTGCTGAGAATCCCGCCAGTGCTAGGCAAGTGCTCTATCGYTGAGCCACAATCMAGCCCTCAGTATTTTTTAATTCTTCTTTTTCGTTGGAAGGGGAGGGTGCAACCCAGTTTGCTGGTGCTCGGTGAGCAAGGAGGGAGCAATAGTTTGATAGGGTTTTACCTGTGCTTTCTCTAGCAGAAGAGAAGGGATGAAACCTGTAGGCTACTTTTATCTTCTTTAGAAACCTATGTGTCAGGAAGAAAAAGTATTGAGAAAAATGAATTTCATAGCCAAACTGGCAGCAGTGAAGTAAATAGTGAAATTCTACTGTGATAATATTTAGCAAATGGCTACACACAAAATCAACCAAAGATGTCCACATACATGTTATACGGTTTTATACTGTTTGTGTTGACGAAAATACCCAGAATCTCAACCTAAGAAAAAAGGAACAAGGGAAAGAACACAGACAATCTGTTCCAAACATGGATTTGATTTTATTTAAAGTGGATGAAAAGACCTTCCAAAGAACAGAAGCAGTAATCCAAATGCTCAAAAACCACTCACACCATGCAAATTGCATTTACACACAGAATGCAATCCAGAAGTTAATAGAAACTAAACTTCTGCTTCTTTGGAGTAAATTTAACCAAAAGATCAGAAGATAGAAAATAATAAATGATAACAATAAAGAATTTAATGAATCATGAAAAACTATATGTATAATCTGATTAGAGAGAGAGAGAGAGAAAGAGAGAGAGAGAGAGAGAGAGAGAGAGAGAGAGAGAGAGATATCCTTTAGTGTAATTCTCCTTAACTCTCTGCACAAGGAGAAGATTCTGGGTTTTTAAGATTTTTTTTTTTAATCGGACCAATACCTTTATTTATTTATTTTTCATGTGGTGCTGAGGATTGAACCCAGGGTCCTGCACTTGCTAGGCGAGTGCTCTACTGCTGAGTCACAACCCCAGCCCCAGTTTTTAAGACCTTTGAATAGGACTTTCCTGGAGGAAATTTGCTTTTGAGCACTGTATAGGGGTCCATTTCTGAAAGAAGCCTAAAATAATTGGAACTCCTTGGCCAGCTCCATGGAGAAGTACCACAGTGGGAAGGCAGTACGGTGGTGGGATATAGAAATCCTGGAGCAAGTTTACCTGGTTCAAATGCTAGCACTTTCATTTATTAACTGTGATCTTTGGTAATTTACTTATGCTTTCTATCAGTTTTCTTGGCTATTTTCTCTTTCTTTCTTTCTTCTTATTTTTTTTTTTTTTCTTTTTGGTCCTGGGGATTGAACCCAGAGCCTTGCACATGCTAGGCAAGCACTCTACCCCTGAGCTATATCCCCAGTCTAGTTTTCTTGGTTAAAAAAGGGGAACACTAGCCATGCACAGAAGTGCACACCTGTAATCCCAGTGGCTTGGGAGGCTGAGGCAGAAGGATTGTGAGTTCAAAGCCAGTCTCAGCAACTTAGTGAGACCCTAAGCAACTCATCGAGACCCAATCTCTAAATAAAATACAAAAAAAAGGTCTGGGATATGGCTCAGTGGCTAAGCCCCCTTGGGTTCAATCCCCAGTACAAAAAAAAAAAAAAAAAAAAAAACCAAAAAAACTAATTGTACTAACCACACGATGTAAAGCTCTTATAAGGGTTGTGACAAGGGAAGTACTCAATAAATATTATTACCTGATTGGAAAAAAAAAACTTAATGTGTGTTCATGTGTATCTTTAGGAAAAGAACAAGGCATCTTGCTCACCAGTTTGGGAGAGTGTACAATAAATAACTGGATGATTTGCTATAGTAGCTTTTTTTCTGACTTGGAGAAATATTTAAAAGTAAAATCTTAAATGAGACATATTTCTTGTTGTAGGCTTTTTTTCCCCAGAGAGAGGATTAGAAAGATTTTAAGAGTGAAAACGTGAATTGGTGAGATTTAGTGAACAGACAACAAATGACTTCATTGGAGCTATAGTTACTGTAAGTGGTAGACAATGGAAACTAAAGTAAGTTTACTTATTTGTTAAAAATGGAAGCAGGATAATTCAAAAGTACAACATATTCAGTGGCGGGGGCATCTGTTCAAAAACATGTAGCAATTCTACGGCAAGGCAAATGCGACCCACGGGGCAGGTTCCCAGGATCAGAGAGGAGCAAGAGTCAAGTCAGGAGCTTGGTTAGGAGTTCAGCCACCAAGAATAGTGGAGTTAAGAAACTCAGTTTTCCAAATGAGTGGTGAGGACTCCAGAAATGGCTTCCTGCTTCCGTCAAAGATTTTTAAAGTATATATCTCTTTGTGGACCTCCTCTAACTTGAGTCAGAAAATAAAAATGTATTAAGCACCAACTGTATTCTATGTTCTATGTCATTAAGAAATACGAGTCTTATTTCACTTATTACCAAAGGTTGCCCCATCTCTGCTCCTGGTCACTTTTCTTGCCATGGGGAAGGAAGACGGGGGGCATGTGGCTCTCTAATTTTCCGAAAGTAAAGCCTTGTTTTTCCTCTTCTTTTTACAGAAGGCTCTCACCTTTACCAGTGGAGGTTAAAGAGAAAGAAAAGAAATAATTAAAGTACTTCCTTAGAGATGGGAATGAAAGAGGATCCAAGAAGTGGGGGCGAATCTCAGTGGCCCTGGGTTCTACCCCCAACTCCATAAAAAAGGAAAGAAAAGGGTCAATCGGTTGCTATAGTACAATGGAAGGATGAGAAGATTATTTCAGACCCACCCTTCACCCTCAACCATAATACAAGAATGAGACATACTTTTGCAGCAAAATTATGCAGCTCTTGGGGGCTTCTGCCTTCCATAAAAAGGCTACACTCCAAAGTGATAGACTAGGTTTCTACTCTTATACAAACCACTTCTTGAGATGCAAATTTTTAAAAGGTGTTTCTACAGAAGGATTGCATTAATGTAGCCTTCTAAAATATATCCTTTGAAAGCCTGGGTTAAGACATTCTTCCAGCAGTTTTCTTACTCAATTCCTTTAGCTTTCAGTTCCTCCTTGACACGTTCCAGGTAGTGAGGATCAGGGTAGCCATAACTGCAGAAAGAAAAAACCCTTTTAAGCATCATCACAAATGGTTAATATCATCTGCATTTGAGGATTTCATATTCAGGGTTGTGAACAATTATGGGTGATGTATAACTGTTCTTCAGTGTGCAGATGTTTTCTCATTTAGCTAGTGAGTGAGCCCAGCTGTCTGACCAGTATCTGTTTTCCAACCAGGCTTTAAAATTCTCAGTTTATTGTAAGCAGCGATTCTCATACAATTATAATCATATGCTATATTTTACAGGGAGTCGTAAGTTGAAAATTCTAGTAGGATTTTCAACTTGGGCAATTTGAAAAAGTCTCAGGATATTTTTCTTTTTGAATATCAAGGGTCTGAGGTAATCTGAGTTTCATAAACAACAATCAGATTTCCTGTAATGTAGCTTTTACCACCATTAGCCTCTCAAAACTAAAACCAAAAGAGTTTAGCTTCTCTGTGGACTGATGAGAAAAAARGGACAGAAAGAAAGATGATCTTAAAAGAAAGCAAAGGAACACTTCTAGGATCTACCTTTCAAATTTAATCAACTTAGATACCATTCACCTTGGTTCTGAAACCCTCTTCCCTTGGATGCAAAATTTAAAAACTAATACTTTGTAGTTGGCAGGGTAGGTGGTTATAGGGACCAGTCTTTCTCTCTTTGAAATTATCATCCCAGATTAGCATTTCTCATAATACTAGGATATCAGTGCTATAAAATCTCCTTATATCCACATCCTCAAATTGCTGTATTTTACAACCTCTATACTTTGTTTAGGAACCACTATATTTCAAAAGGTTCTCACTTTTCTGGTCCTCCGGCCCAGGCTGTTTTGTGATGTATATCATTCCATGTAATGACATTTGAGATTCCTGATGTTCGAGATTGCCCCACTGTGAAAATCAGCTTTTGTTTAAAGGCTTTTGAAAGTAGTTCCAAAACCTTCTTTCCTTCCTTATTATCAGGCAAGTATGCAGTTCGCTGTATTCCAGAATAAGGCTTTCCTGGGTTTGGATGCTTGTTCTGTATAAAGACAAGAAAATGTCAGGCAAAAACAGTCCCCTGTCTGAATTTTACTATATGCATAGATATGTTCATTTGTACAGACAGCAAATAAAAAATCAAGAAAAGTATTAAAGGGGCTGGGGATGTGGCTCAAGCGGTAACGCGCTCGCCTGGCATGCGTGCGGCCCGGGTTCGATCCTCAGCACCACATACCAACAAAGATGTTGTGTCCGCCGAGAACTAAAAAATAAATAAATATTAAAAATAAAAAAAAAAAACAAACAAAAAAACACAACTGTTTAAAAAAAAAGCATTAAAGTGTTACTTATATTCCTAATAATTTATATTTCTCCTCTTTCAACTTCACACTGCAAACATTGCCTATCTTCCTGACTCCTACTATCCTAACACATATTCTCCATTCAWCCTTTATTGATCTTAAGAAATATACATGTAGGGCCAGGTGTGGTGGTGCACACCTATAATCTTAGCAGCTCAGGAGACTGAGGCAGAAGAACCACAAGTTCAAAGCCAGTCTCAGCAACTTAGCGAGAGCCTCTCTAAATAAAAAATAAAAAGGGCTGGAGGTGTAGCTTAATGGTTAAGCACCCCTGAGTTCAATCCCCAGTACCAAAAAAAAAAAAAAGAAAGAAAATCACGTAGGGCTAGCAGTATGGTTCAGTGGTAGAGCACCTCCTTTGGATGCATGAAGTCCTGGGTTTGATCCCCAACACTGCCAAATGACATGCAAAACAATTCAAAACAAAATAAAAACCCATAAAAATGTGGAAGGAAAAAAAGAAAAATTAAAAATAAAAAGACATGAAAGCTCTACATTATATGTTTCTGTCCCTTGCTCATGTCCATGAAATAATTCCCTGGGAAATCCAATGTCAAATAGGCAACAGGATAATCCCTCAATGTAGTGGAAAGAAACCCAGGGACCCCAGAAACACTTACCGTTTGTATGCCTCCTGACATATTATATGTAATGACAATGGTGCCACAGGATGGATAACCCGGAAGTGACTCTTTTATAGTTCTGTGATTCATGGTTCCTTCTGGTTGATTCCCTTTCTGGACACCATAAGAAGTCTGACACACGGGGCAGACAGGCCTATAAGAAATGGCTCTATCTATACAACACCTGCAGAATTCGTGTTTGCACTTTGGTAGTACTTGTTTGTCACTCATGGTGTCCATGCAGATGACACAGATGTCCTTTTCCTTCTTGTCTGCTTCGGAGGCCAAAGAACTTGCAGAGTCCTTGAATGGAGGTGATGCTGCTTTTGAATTATTACTATCAATGTCCATGGGTGTTTCATGATCTTTGTTCAATTTCTCTCCAGCTGACAGCGACAGGTCCCCACTCTTTAAGACATATTGTTTTGCCTCTGCAACGTGATTTGACAAACCAGTCAAAGTCACTGACTCTCGACTCAGCACAAAGTGTATATCTGGATGCCTCTTTCTAAAGTCATCAGCAAACTTAGTCCCATGTAACTGCTGTTTCTCCTTGCCCAAAGTTTTCAGTAAAAGGACTTCTTTTGTCAGMTGACAGGTGGCATGTTGAAAGGCATCGATGAAACTTGCATAAGCATGCACAGACAGATCTATCTCCTTATCCTTTGGATCAAATTGAATGCAGGTTTTCTGACCTTTCTCACTAACTTTACTATGACTATTGTACTTTTGCTCTATCTCTACTATCTTTCGGAGTAACTGAGCTTCTAGAAGCTTATAGTGAGCAGTGTCAATCTCAATTGTGTTCTTCATGCAACTGGGAGCAAATATTTTCACAGGTTTCAAGACAAGAAATTCGGAAATTTTTTGACTGGAGGCTGAAATGTCATCTTGGGTCCCAAGGAGAGTGAGCACTCCTCCTTGCTCCTTTATCAGGAGCTTGGGAAACCTGTAACTCAACTCCTGTTTGATTTTATTTGCTAACTTYCTATCTTCTAAAACGACACGTTCTTGCTTCAGAGATTCAGTGGTCTTCTGAAATTCGTAGACAAAAGACTCACGAGCTGCTTCTATGTCCTCTGAATGGCTGGAGGTAAAGTCTAAATAGACCGTATTGGGAGGGATAGTTTGAATTTTAGTGTTTACACCAAATCTTTTCTCTATTGAGTCTATTTTACCAGGACAGGTATATCTGAAGTATTCAAAGAAATGCAAGGGAATTTCAAAATGGCTGTCTTTTTCTTCTGACCTGGGTTTTGGTTCAGAAGGAAAAAAGCAGCTGTCACAGTCCTGCTGGTCAAGTGGTTTCCTCTCCGTGGTAGAAGGGGAAGATTCCTGATTCCTCTCATTCTCCAGGAGCTGCTCACTTAAGAAGTGATATATTTTCTCAATATCTCTGAAATCACCATACACCTTCTCAATTCCATTGTCACCCTCCAACTTTTTGACTCTGGGGCAGAGAGTGGTTACATGTGCCCTCTGCTCTTTGGAGAACAGGTCACAGTTCAGATCGGCTGTCACAGTAAGAAAGATCTGAAAAATTCAAAGGAACAGGAACAAATAAAATATCTCAGACTCCCAGGCCCCYGGTAGAACGTAGCACTCTTCAGAATGCCCTGAGACTACAGAAATAACCACTAAGCCTTTCCTTATGTTCAAACCCTTTAAGAGAATGCAGTATGCTATAGCCTAGAGGGTCTCAGGCCTGTCGGCTTGTTAGAATCACCTGGGAAGTTCAAAAAGAGAAAGAAAGAGTGGGAAGGAAGGAGAAAGGGCCAGTGGGCCAGGGCTCAGGCTCATCTCCAGAGATTCTTATAAATGGTCTACAGTGGAGCCTGGGCTTGAACATTTTTTTAAAAGCTCTATGTTACAAAAGAAACTGGGTTTTAAAGCTGCCCCTATCTGACTTTGAGGAATGACAGTAGAGAGAGGCATTTCTGTTCTCTGGATAAGTTGCTGTGGTCCTTAGAAAATAGTCTGTGAAAGGAGTCACAAATCTGAGGATAATTTTTTTCTTATTACTATATTTTTCTCTTATTTATCCTTCCTCTTTTAAAAATAAATACTCTATATGTGTAATATGAAGCGAATTGCATTCTGCCATCATGTATAACAAATTAGAATAAATAAATAATTTGATAAAAAATAATAAAAAAACAAAGAGTTGGGCATGGTAGCGCATGCCTATAATCTTAGCGACTCTGGAGGCTGAGGCTCCAGGAGGATCGAAAGTTCAAGGCCAGCCTTATCAACTTAATGGGACCCCGTCTCAAAATTAAAAAAAAAAAAAAATAGGGCTGGGGATGTAGCTTAGTGGTAAAGCGCTCCTGAGGTCAATCCCAGTACCAAATAACAACAACAATAAATAAAACAAAACCAACAAAATTAAACATTTGACTTCCCACAGAGTTGCTAGGCCCTTCCTAAACTTTGACCTTTTAGAAGCTCAATTATAAGAAAGATATTCTAGTTTACAATAAAAAGGACAGAGGTGAATGAAATGTAGTAGAAAAGCAAAATTTCTAATGTTTGGTTCCCCCTTGAGGTCTCTGCACATGCCCTTTTCTCTGCATGGAACATTATTCCTCTAGATCTCCAAAATGTTTCCTGAATCTCCTGTTCTTATATGTCTATGGGAACCATCCAGAGTCCAGGCCATTATCATCCTCCACCTGGCCCATTGCAACTTTTCCTAACTGGGCTCTGAGTTTCTATTCTAGCCCTTCCTGCACATGTATTTCCACACACAGCAGCCAGATTGATCCCTTAGAAATGTAAACAAAAATGCCCCCCCACCCCCCCCACCCCCCCCCATCAAAACCATCAGATGACTCTCCTGACATTTAAGTTGAAATCTGAAGTCCTTATCATCATCCCCTAAATACCTGACCTCTCTGAGTTCCCAGCACTCCTTCCCTTGCTCACTGTCTTCCCCTACTCTATCTTCTTTGTAGCTTGTAGAGTTCAGGATATAAGCTTTTGTGGGGCCTGTGCACATGTGCATCCCTTGGCCAAGGCCTAGAATGTTCTTCCTCCAGAAACCCACTCATCTAGCTCCCTTACTTTAATCATGTCTGTTCAGATGACTCTATCTGAGTGGTACTTCTTGACATCCTATGTCAAATAGGGTTTCTTTCATTAATCCTGCTTTATTCTTCTTTCCAAAACTTACAGGCATTTTATTGCATTTCTATTTGTTTACATTGTTGGTTCCTCTCACTTAAAGGTAAGTGGTGTGAGGGCAAAGTCTTTGTGTGCCTGGCTGTGTCCCCAGCCCCTATTACAGTGCCTGGCACATAGTAGTCAGTCAATATCTATTTGTGGAATGAATCTTGCATGGCTGACTCCTCATTATGTCTCATGCAAAAATGCCTCCTCCACAGAAGAATTGGCTCTGACTTCTGGTCATAAGTAGAACCATCTTCACCATTCCCTTTCTTGCCTTGGCCCTGTTCTCTCTGAAGCAAAAGCTTATTTTATTTTTTTAGCAGGTCTCAAGCCTCTGAATTTTTTTTTTTCAGGTTTTTACTTGCTTATAGTTTTTCTGTGCACCTCTCCACCCCAGTACCAGCTGCATGAGAGTAGGGACCTTGTCTGCTGTGTTCATCTCTGTGTCCTAGTGCTTAAACCAGTGCCTGACTCATTATTAGTCCCCAGCACTGTCTGCTGGGACAAAAAGGCAGTAGGTGTGGTAACCATGGAGGCACTTAAAGAACACAGCCAGCTGCTTTTTCCAACACTCACCTTTTGGACATAGGAGTTGACATTATTAGGAACAGGACCTTTATTTGGGTGTTTCTCCCCAGATTGTGCTTCAGCTTGTGTCAATGAAGAACTTCCAGATTTTGTTTTCTCTTTTGGCTTCTTAGTGGTATCCAGAAAAATGGGCACAGGTTTCTCATCAATCGAGATGTGGTGATCTCCTTTTCTCAACACTCCCTCCTTAGCTTCARTGGAGACATTAAACACACATTCACAGGAGAAATTTCAAATAGCCCTTGGAATTCCCTGAAAATTGGTTTTGGGAACCCCCAAAGATACCCCAAATCCATGGATGCTCAAGTCCCTTATGTAAAATGGTGTAATACTTCCATAAACCTACTTTTATCTTCTCACATACTTTAAATCATCTCAGATTACTTATAATACCCAATGCAATGTAAATCTATGTAAATAGTTGTCTTACTGTATTGTCCAGGGAATAATGACAGAAAAAAATGTACATGTCCAGTACAGATGCTATTTTTTTTTTCCTGTAATTAAGACAGTTTCCATCCCTGGTTGGTTGAATCCATGGGTGCAGAACCAACAGCYACAGAAGGCCTGACAATAATCCCATTATTCTTGCATCTGTACTCTGCCCAGTACCTCACTTGTAAGATCGTTCCCTGCCTGCTGAAATAGCAGTTTTCGTGGGGAAATAGGGGGAGCTATTCAGAACTTTGAAGTAGGCAGCTTACATTTTACAATAAAAATGAAAGCTTAATGATAATGGAACATCATCGGCCCATTTAAAGTTATGTTTCCAGTCCGCCTTTCAATGATATGGAATAATAGTCATTAAATAATTAAGTTTTTTTTTTTTTAAACAGGAATCCAATGTTTTTCCTCAGATTGTTAGAAATGCATATGTTTACTGACATTCATAGGAAATGGCTGGAGGGAGATACATCAAAATGTTCCCATTGTTTATCTCCACGTTGTTTTCTTTTTTGCTCTTTTCTATAGTGAGCATCTATTACTTTTGTAAACCTCAAAAGTCAGTCAATTGAATCATTATTTACAACATAAAACYGCAATGCTTAAACAACAAGGACAACAACTGCCAGGAACCTGGGGAGGGAAGGGGCAGTACTTATATTTCTGTGGCAATTGAAAAAAATATGTCAGTTCAGAAAAGCACTAGAAAGTACCATCCTTGAGGTAGTCAACCCGGATCAGGGACTGGGCACATCTGGGACTCTAACCTCCACTGTGGGGTTGCAGGAGATGTTGGCAACAGGAACTCCCGGTTCTTGCCCCCCCCCCGACCCCCCAGAACAGCCCCATACTTTTTCCTGCGCGCTCCCCTAGGTCAGACTGAATTGGGTCGCCCKGGAAACCCGCAGCGCTGCGCCCCTCACCCGGGGGACGGCCTTGGCACCTCCGCTGCCCTGCAGCTCACCTGCCCTTTCTCTGAATTCCACCCGGAAAGTGTCCGGGGCGCTCGGGCCGACGGGCCGGACCGTGCACTCCCCGCCGCCCGAGAGCCGGCTCTGGAAGTAGCTTTCCAGTTTCCTGTGCAGCCGGGGCACGGACTGGGACACCCGCACGAGCAGCGGCGACGGCGGGCAGGGGCTGGAGGCCATGGCGCTCGGCGTGCGGCTCGAGTGGGGCTCCGGGACGCTTCTGTGCCGGACTGGGCAAAGGCGCCTCCCGCCCCGCCGACTGGGGCCTCAAAGTTTCAGTTTCGCTTCTTTGGAAGTCCCTCCCGGTTCCCAGCAGAGCCGCCTCCCCTCTGGTTTGTGCAGTCCGCCCCGCAGCCAGCGTCGGGTAAGTGGGTCCCGTCCCTGGGGGTACGCTCTCCTGCAGGCTCCAGCGAGGGCGGGCGAGGACGGGCGAGGACGGGGGTCCCCGGGCCAGGCGTCCCCAGGTTAGAATGTTAGCCAGGCAGGGAAAATAAGTTTCTCATGTGTTTCTGTTTTTTTTAAAGAGAGAGTGAGAGAGGAGAGAGAGAGAGAGAGAGAGGATTTTTAATATTTATTTTTTAGTTCTCGGCGGACACAACATCTTCGTTGGTATGTGGTGCTGAGGATCGAACCYGGGCCACACGCACGCCAGGCGAGCGCACTACCGCTGAGCCACATCTCCAGCCCTGTTTCTGTTCTTTTAAACCATTGTTGTTATTGCTGTTTGCCACATGTAATTCGCATTCCGAGTTCACGTTATACTTAACCTAATTTTTAAAAGGAAAAAAAAAAGTTTTTAGTTTGTTTATCCGCACTGTTACCTGTGACGTGCTCCCTGCCAGCAGCTCTGTCCTGTAGACAGGCACTTTTCTGCCCTCTTCCCTTGAGTTGGCCAACAGTACGGAATGGTTGCCGCCCTGTGCAGGAGGGGTAAGAGGTCCCTTAGCTGAAGGGCTGCAAAGGGAGGCAGACCTGTGAACAAGGAAGCAAATCTCTGAAGACCTCCAAGTGAAAGTTTTGAGCGGAATTGGACACTCTCTAAAAGTGTTGAGTGGGGGGCTAGGGAGGGGAGAGAAATGGAGTGCCTCTAGGACCAGGAGTGCTGTGGTCTGAAACACAGAGGGGCCCTGGGACCTGGAAGGGGAGGAGATGGACAGGGACATGCAAAAGGAAGGGCCTACTCAGATCTGTGCTGTTCAATAGAAATATAAAGGGAGTCACATGTTAATTGTAAAATTCTTCATCATATTATTAAACATATAAAGAAACTGGTGAAATTAATTTTACTGCTGCTATTTAATATATTCAAACTAATTATTTCAGCAGATAATGGGATAATTTATGATCTCTTTGGTCATTCTAAGTCTTTGCCCTCCAGTGTTTTTCTTTTATTTACTTCACATTTCATTTCAGACTAACCACATGTCCAGTGCTTGATAACTACATGTGCCTAATGGTCTACCTTGAACAGCACATGTCTAGATGGTGAAAGGTCTTGATGATAGAAATGGAAGAGTTGGAAACAAAGGAAGCCAAAAACTGATGAGTCAGATTGGTATCTTAGAAGAGGCTGACAACAATGCAAAGAACACATTTCCAGCCAGGGATGAATGGAGGTAGAGAGGCCAAAGATGAGATTTTTTCATGTGGAAATGACTAGAAATGACTGGTCTTCATGGACAGCAATTTGGCACTACTATCAGAATTACAATTGCATATGCCGTATTTTTTCAGTACCACATCCAAGAATTTGTCCCATTGATATATTATGTGTTAAGCGACCTAGGTACAAAAATGTTCTTTTTAAAAAAATTTTTTTTAGTTTTAGATGGACACAATATCTTTATTTTGTTTTTATGTGGTGCTGAGAATCGAACCCAGTGCCTCATGCATGCTAGGCGAGTGCACTACCACTTGAACCACATTCCCAGCCCCCAAAATTGTTCTTTATAGGCTTCTTTACAGTAGCTTAAGACTGGGAACTCCTTAAATGTCCATGAAAGGGGAACAGCATTAAAAACTTATAGTTAAATAACTTATAGTATTTCTATTCAATGGAATACAATAAATAGTGGAAAAAAAATGAGGTCCATCTCAATGTGCTACTGTGAACAGATCTCTGGCACATATTAAGTGGAGAAGGTAAAATGTAGAAGAGTGTGTATTAGATGCTACCTTTTGTGTAGAGATGTCCCTAGAAACAAGAGAGGTTGATTGCCTTGGAGGGTGTTTCTTGAGGGAGGTAAGAGAGGACCTTCTAYAGTTTTTGCACCATGTGAATACATAAATGTAATATGTATTCAGACAATCAAATGTAAAGTTCGATAGTGCATTTGAATCTTTGGAAAGAGTATACTGCCATAACTCAGGCAAGAGGTTTTGAGACCCTAAAGTGCAGCAATATCAGGAAATAAGAAAGTTAGGGACATATTTGAGAGGAACTTAGATGGTCAAGACCCAGAGAGAGATTGGATATAGGACAAAAGAGGAGATTTAAGGATAATTCTTAGATTTCTGATTTGAGTGGGCAAATRGCATATTATTTGCTGAGCTGTGGAATCTAGGAGATAAAGCATGGATTTTTGTGGGGGAGTGGGGAGGAGGATATAAGGGTCAATTCTTGTTGAAACTGTATTTGAGGGGAATATGGGACATCCAGATAAAGTTGCAGGAGAGTAGTAGCCTAGAAATACAGATATGGGAATTGTATTTACAGTTGGTGAGTTGAAGCCCTGAAGTAGATGAGATTACCCCCTGGGGAATATGTAGAATAAAGAAATGTCTCTTAGACAGAATCTTGAGGCCAGGTGTGGTGGTGCATACCTGTAACCCCAGCAGCTCCAGAAGTGGAGGCAGGAAGGTTGCAAGTTCAAAGCCAGCCTCAGCAACAGGGAGGCACTAAGAACTCAGTGAGACCCTGTCTCTAAATAAAATACAGAAAAAGACTAGGGATGTGGCTCAGTGGTTAAGTGCCTTTGGATTTGATTAAAGAGTGAGGGGAGGATGCTGGAAGTGAATTCAGGGAAAGGTTTATAAAGGCATAGGGACAAAAAAATACAAAGAGTCAAGAGGGCATAGGAAAAGCTAATAAAGCAGAGTTTCAGGAATCAAAGCATGAAATGCTATAGAAGGGGTCACGCAAAGACTAGGATAGTAGATAGTGCGCCTTGGGTTAACCACATGGAGGACACTGACAGTTTCAGAGGAGTACTGGGGATGAGATGGGGAGTCAGACTATGGTGAGCTGAGCGGGTGGGATGACAAGACAATCAACTACTCTTTGCAGAAGTTTGACTGCCAATGAGGGACAGAAACACCATAGGAAAGGACAGAAGGAATGTAGTGACAACAATAGCAAAACACTGTGCATCTCACCAATGAAATGAAAAACTTCAAGATCAGAAGTCATGTTCAGTTCTCCTATTGAATAGTCTTACCAAATTCCCTCAACTTCAGTGATGGAAAGTTGAGAAGGTGTTTGTTGTTATTTAAATGGAAGAAAGGGCTGGGRATGTGGCTCAAGCACTAGCGCGCTCGCCTGGCATGTGTGCGACCCGGGTTCGATCCTCAGCACCACATACCAACAAAGATGTTGTGTCTGCCGAGAACTAAAAAATAAATATTAAAAGTTCTCTCTCTCTCACTCTCTCTTTAAAAAAAAAAATAAAAATAAATGGAAGAAATTGTTTTAGGCAACATTCTCTTTGCTTCTAATTTCTCTGGGGTTAAATGGATTCCAGCTCCACAGCCAAGTCCGTGCCTAGGCCAGGTCTGAAGATAGAGACAAGCMCAACAACATCTAAAGAAAAACCCAGCAGCCCAGCAGGTGCAGAAGTCTTCCTTCTTTTGTAAATACAGCAGTGCCCTCTAGAGGCACGAATGCTTCTCGTTCTTGCATTTTAGGTGTAAGAATAATAGTGCTCTGATGCTGTGGATGACTGTATAAAAATTTTCTATTGCAAACAYAGAGAGATCACTCTAGGGACCTAAAGATAGCAGAAAGTGTTGACCATTGTATCTTTTCATCATCATTCAAAAAATGCACAGCCTTTAATTGCTGCCTACTTGATGGCAAACATTTCAAAATAATCTTCCCCAGAGGGTTATTTTTAAAAATATTATTATCCAGATATCCCCTATCGAATTAGGTAAAGGATATTTATCGTAAACTCTGCAAGGCACACCCCGTGCAGGCACAAGTATCCTCTTTCTTCAAACACTCCTCAGGGGTCTTCACTTGCTCGTAAGGCTGTTGTTCCTAGCTGTTCTGAATGCTGTGCTCAGTCTCACCATTTTGTTATCATCTTCTTCCTCTTCTACGTATGTGAAAACCTGATCCATCCTTCAAGGCCTGGCTCCAGTCTCACCTTCTCCATAAATTTTTTCCTGTTCAAGCCCCTGTAACTTTTTCCCTTCTCTGAACTGCCATTATGGTTTTTATTGGAACCTGACCTGAAGAGGACAGAAGGTAAACAATAACAACAGCAAACCAATATGTGCATCTCACCAATGGAATAAAAACTTCTCTAGATCAGAAATCATGCTCAGTGCTCCTATGGACTATTTGTACCAAATTCCCTCAGCTTCTGGTCAATGCTTACTGTGTTGTTTCCATTTATTCCTAGAAGTAGGCCGCCATATCTGGGAACTGCAGTCTACACTTTGAAACCCAAGAGGGATTAAAGACCCACCAGAGACCTGGATAATGGCCTTCTCCATGGTAAAATCTATATGTATAAATATATAAATGTCTATGCATTATGAACCTTGATCAGTACATGAAGAGTTTTTCCTATAATAAATAACAAGAAGTCTGGGCTCTTCAGTAACACCTAGCATCTCATTTGGTTTTAATAGCCTAATAAAAGTGTTATTGAATCATTGGGAAATTGGAATTGAAAATATGCTAATTATCAACAATGTTAACTTGAAGATGGATGATTTTTTTAAAAAAATGTCACTTGCATATCATTTGGATTCTCTTCATTCATTCAGCAGTTCRTTTTTTTTAGGATGGAGTAAGGAGATGATACGGGAGGAATAAAAGCAAGGGAATAGAGAAAGAAACATCGTTTGCTAAATTTCAAAATTCTACATGAAGGCTATGTCATGAAATAGGCAATTGAAAGTGGGTCCTTACTGGTGGGTGGAAGATGCAGCTGATGAGGCTCATGTCCTCATGTTTTCTGCTCTACCTAGGGAAACTCCAAGACACATTGGAATTGGAGCCTGTCTGAGAGTTTTGGATCTTTTTAGAGGTCTATGACTCTTAGGCCTTTTCAAGTATGAATCCATAACCGTTCATGTCATTTTAAATTCAATCCCTAGGCAAGTGGGATTGGGTCAATGTTTGATGGAACATTTAGTAGTGTTTTAGGCACAAAGATAGAAAAATAACCACAGTGACAAATACATGTGTCCCTCTCTGCAAACCCAGCGCTTTGAGCCAAGTTGCTGTTGCTTTGTATGTGGTAGACTATATCTGGAATCAGTAGCCTGTAGCTGTTCAGCTTAAATTTTGTTTTAAAGTCATTCTCATCTTTCACAGGATGCTGGAGCAGTAACTTCCAATGAAAAATCAGGTAGGATCACCTCACTCCCACTCTTATTTCAGAAAGGCTTTGCTCAGATCTTTTCTCAGTGGAGAAAAGGGAATACGGACGGAGACTGTCTCCCCCACAAGTGCTCAGGTGCGTGACTGCAGGCCCGTGTGGAGACCCTAGCTCATGCTTCAGAAGGAGGACTGTTTCAGAGGCAGTGTGGTACTACCAACTTATTCTCTTAGGGCCCCCAATGATCCTTTCCTTTGTTCACAGATGTAAGACTCTTCTGACCACAGCCCTGCAGCTGACATTGGACAGAAGGGGTGACCAACTGATTGTCCCCTTGGCTGAAAGAGCCAAATGGTACCTGCCTAATTCTAGAAGTGGCCTATTTGAGATTTCAGATTTCTAATTAAAGCTCAGGCCAGTTAGGTCAAACTACTCACTTGCTGCTTCTTTTGGGTAACTGAGGCCACCAGAGGTCTTTGTAGGTGGCTCCAATTAGAAATGCCTGTTGAAGTTATGTATATATGATTACCACATTTTATAAATTTAGGATGCACTTTTTTCACATTTAACATCTCTGAAACAAAGCTAATAYACTTTAATTGACATTATTTTCCCTTTCTCAGAGGCATGCAATAACAATGTTTTGGGCTCCATGAAATACACTATCACAGGTTAGGTTCTCCAGGATCTAGAGTTGGAGATGGAGTTAGTACAAAAGGTTCATTATGGAAGAAACAGAAGACGCTAGGTTGGGTGGAGTGGAGCCATCGAGTTATAATGAAAACCTGACAGTCTCTGGCAGCCTGAGATCCCCTGTTAGAGAGTAGAGTTGTCTCTTGCTGAGCATCAATGGCCTTGTTCAGGTTTTGATGGAGAACACTCTGAGAATAGCATGACCTTGGCTAGAGAGCTTAGATGAACCCATGAGGGGGGTATTTAATAGCTACAGGTTGTAAGCTTACCAGATTTCCCACTTTATAATCAAACTGAAGGAGGATCTGAACAGAACATCTTTTTTTTTTTTTTTTTTTTTTGATAGAACTGGGGATTAAACCCAGGGCCTTGGGTATGCAAGGCAGGCACTGAACCAATAGAACTATATCCCAGCCCCCACACATCTTCTTTTCAGCCATAATAAATAATTTTTAGTCAATCAGTTTTCACATTAATTTTAACTGTGCCATGCAACTAAAGTACTATGAAGAAATACTTGCTGTAGCAGACATTGTCAGTGCTCCCCCTGCACCTCCTAGCCAAGGGACAGCTTTGGCCAATGACCCTTAGAAGCTGGAGAAATATGTCAGCTCCTATAATTTCCCCTCTAGGGGTACAACTCTGAGGCATATAATCTATTTTGCCCACCAGTGGAGTTTAAGCTTCATTTACTAAATAAGACACTCTATTCGCTTTTCTCCTTCGTCTTAGTTTCCCACCCTCCCTTCCTTAAGCAGAACTCCTGGTGTTTGCTAGACTCACCTTTCAAATAAATTATTTACATTCAAATTCTCATCTCAGAGTCTGCTTCCAAAAGGACTCAAACTAAGACACTGACGAAAGCAAAAAAAAATTAGAAATGTAACTCCCTGTACTTCTGACTCATATCCTTTCTAATATTCTTACATGCATTTAAAATATTCATGAGCTCTCCTATACACACTATCTTCTCATCACTATACACAGTAGTTACTAATTATGGGGTATTTAGTATATGCAGGCACAAGACTAAGCACCTTATGAGTGTGTCCTACCATTGAAAACTCTTGGATATTGTAATTAAATGTCTGAGTGAGAAGGAGAATCAGTAAGGGAGCTAGAGGAAGTTCATCTCTTTTGTAAATAAGAAACTCAGCCTCCTGGTGTGAAATGGAATTACATACTTTTCGAAGGGTACCTTGATCATTTCTTTATTGTTTATCTTTTCTCCTTTTCCAGAGACTGACTCTCTTGGAGGACACTATMGTTGGCAAATTCCTGTTAATCTCAATGACTTTGAAATTTTAAAAAATAATGAGAATAGACTGTTTGAAGTCCTCCAAAATAAGTTTGGGTGTATCTCTACCCTGGTGTCTCCAGCTCTGGAAGGTAATAGCAATTCTTTGGGCCAGCAAGTCTTCAGAAAGACCCTGGCCCCAGGGCTTGAGTTATCTGTCTGGAAGGGTGACCTCAGCAGACGTGCTGTTGATGTTGTGGTGAATGCAGCCAATGAAGATCTTCTACATGGGGGAGGCCTGGCCTTGGCCCTGGTGAAAGCTGGTGGCCCTGAAATCCAAGAGGAGAGCAAAAGATTAATTTCCAGTTATGGCAGAGTACAACCTGGTGGGATAGCTGTCACTGGAGCAGGAAAACTTCCTTGCAAAAACATTATCCATGCTGTTGGGCCTCGATGGAAAGCAGTGGAGAAAGAGAGATGCATTGATACACTGAAAAGAGCTATTGCAAATGTTCTGGAGTTTGTTTGTAAAGAAGAGTGCATTAAGACAGTAGCAATTCCAGCCCTGAGCTCTGGAATTTTCAAGTTTCCTCTGGATTTGTGTACAATGACCATTTTAAACACTATCAAGTTTTATTTCCAAAGCAAGCAAGTGGTTGGTAATTTGAAAGAAATTCATCTGGTGAGCAATGAGGACCCTACTGTTGCTGCCTTTAAATCTGCTTCAGAAATTGTCCTGGGAGGCAATGAGCTGGACTCTTGGGAGCGTCAAGAAACCACCCCTCCTTTTAATATGACTATTCAAACTCCTCAGGGCCTGACTCTCCAGATTGTCCTGGGCTACATTGAACTACAGACGGTAAGTTTTTGATTCTATTTTCTTGTACTTCCAGTAGGGGATCCTTGAATTGTTTGATACCTATTAAGAAGTTTTAAATAAATACCATGCATTGCTGTTTAGAAAGCATCTTCTTAGGGTTAAGAGTGTGGTCTTCAGAGCCAAGCCACCTGGATTTAAATACCTGTCTTGCCATTTACTATCGGGGTGACTTGAAACAAATTAGTTTATCTTTTAGCTTCCTTATCTATAAAATGAGGATAACTGTAGTACTTATATCATAGAGCTAGAATCAGTACTCACACAATGCTTCTCCTCCTGCTTGGCACATGGTTAGAGTAGTAATTATAATTATTATTGTTGTTGCTGTTATTGTTAGGCACTATGGAGAATTAGAACAACTTATGATCCTAAGGAACTTACAATTTATTATGCTCTTTTTATCTAAAAAGTTACTTATTTGGAAAAATCTCATTGTTGAGACAAACCATCTAAACATTTCTGAGGCAACCTGTCAGTAGTGATGCAAAATAACAGTGGACCGAGAAAGATTGTTTCTGGAGATGTGAGTTTTGAATCTGACCTCAAGTTGTGATGGGTATGAATTGGCAGAGGGAAAGCTTTGATTGGAGACCTTCTTGAAACTTGATCAAAGACACACTGAGGAATTAATTGATAGAGGAAATAATGAAGTTGGCCAGAGTGAGTAGACACAGGTGGAGTTCAAAGTCATATTCCATATGGATAGCTCTGTGACAGAGACTGTGGAAAATATAAGGTGTAACTTAGCATTTAGTTGGAGTTTATTGGGCACAAAGGCCAGGGCCCTCTGAGGGAGTTGAGGAAGTCAGAGAAAGAGCAAATCTAAGTGGTTCTGGGCTAATGCAGCTCCACTTCTAGGCAGAGAGCACCTAAGGAAGAGCATCATGACTTTCTCCTCTCTTGCAGTCCCAGAGCCTGATCTGTGCATGGATCTAGGTGTTCAGTACATTAATGATGGATAAGTGGAAGGGCAGTAAGAGCAAGAACTTCAACAGAAGAAGAGAAGAAATACAAGGCTGCATTCTTTTTTTTTTTTTTTTTTTTTTGACTGGGGATCGAATGCAGGGGTGCTTAACCACTGAGCGACATCCCCAACCCAACCCTTTTTTTGTATTTTATTCAGAGACAGAGTCTCACTGAGTTCCTTAGGGCCTCGCTAAGTTGATGAGGCTGGTTTTGAACTCGTGATCCTGCTGCCTCAGTCTCCCAAGCCATTGGGATTATAGGCATGTGCTACCACACCCAGCCAAGGCTGTATTCTTTAATTTCAGTGATGTCTCTTAGGGTCACAATCAAATCGACTTAACCACTAGTGAAACAAATACCACCTATTATCTACAAGAAAATTAGAATAAAGACCAAGGGGACTATATGATTTGAGAAGGTATTAAAACACCAATTCAAAATTAAAAGGAAAGCATCCTAGTTGAATAACTTATCCCATTAACTGAAATTTTAGTGCATTTATTTATTGCCAGTGGCATTAGAAACCTTAAAAAATTTAAAAGGATGCCAATGCCCCCAAATGGCAAATTTTGATTGCACTCTCAAAAGTAAAACACTTGTTAACATTTATGAGAAGTATCTAAGTTACCCCCAAAGAGAACCAAAGATGTCAGATGATTAGAGGCTTTGGTAGAGGAGAGGAYGCAACCCTTTAGCACAGATCTGAGAACTAAGAGATGAAATTATTTAAATACCACATATATGTATAGTCTTTTTCCAAAAAGATAGATCAAAGACTGGTAAAAAATGATTGGCTGTAGGATGAGGGAGTGTGTGGTTCTGGAGATCTCACCCAGAAGGAATCCTGCTTTTCATTGCAGATCTTTTTGCTTCATTTGCACTTTCTTTAACCATGTATTACTTATCTTAAAACAAAAACATTAGGTAGAATTTTCCTAAGAAAATTAATTTCTTCTCTGTTTAAAACAAACAACAACAACAAAAAAAAAAACCTACACAGAAATAGCAAAAAGTGATAGTGGTACAGCAGAGAAGGAAACTATTTATTGATACAACTTAAAAAAAACACACACACACAAGGGGGGCTGGGATTGTGGCTCAGCGGTAGAGGGCTCGCTTAGAATGGGCGGGACCCGGGTTCGATCCTCAGCACCACATAAAAATAAAGGCGTTGTGTTGTGCYCATCTACACCTAAAAAATAGATATTAAAATAAAGCACAAGGAATGCTCAGAATCTAGAAACATAAAAGGTGTAATGCAGCAAGAAGCTAATAGATATTTACAATAAGAATCATTTCATCTATTTCTGTACTTAATYTTTGAATAGGACAGAGAGTTTCATGGCAATTAAATGATTGCTCCTTGGAAATAAGAGTTTCTAACCATTATTAAATGAATTTTTGTAGATTTGGGATCCTCAAAAAACATTTGGAAGGGCCTGGGGTTGTAACTCAGTAGCAAAGTGTTTGCCTAGCATGTGTGAAGCACTGGGTTCAATTCTCCACCCTGCATATAAGTAAATAAAGGTCCATTGACAGTTAAAAAATATTTTTTAAAAAATCATTTTTAAAAGCTTTTCTGGGAAATGAAGATTTAAATTAGGGATTTAACAATGAATCCTATGCTTTCTTCCCTTTTCAGACAGATGTAATTGTTAATTCTGTAACCCCACCATGTCTCAGAGTGGGACCTGTGTCAACATCAATTCTACAACGGGCAGGARATGAAATGGAATGGGAATTCTGTAAAAAAGTATCTCAACAGTTTTCAGATTCCCAGTTGGTACTGGTCACAGAAGGATTTAAACTGCCCTGTAAATACGTATTCCATGTTCTGTGGAATCCAGCACAACCTGCATCTTTGGTAAGTTCAGAATAGATTAACCTTTATGCAGCTCCATGGTCTAACCAACCTGTTAAATTTCCATTGTTTCATTACATTCATGAAATCTTGTCAAGTGTTTATGGCCCACATTTGAAGCCTGAAATGTTACCTAACCCTTGGCTAAATTTTAAGTAAGCATATTGCAAATGGACACTGAAACACAGAGCTTCCTCATCCTATTCACCCATTAACCTCACCGTACTCAGTGACCCTGTAGACTTTTCCTAAGCAGGCACGGTGTTCACTTCTCCATATTTTCCTCTATGGATTAAATTCCAGGAGGAGCTGGGATTTCCCTTCTAGCACCACTCCAGTCAAATCTATTACCTGTAGTCTCTTCCTACCTGTGCTGGTGGTGGACATTGGCTCTCTAGCTACTTTGTCTCCTAAGGCCCAAAACATAYAAGCTTTAAAAAATAGGGAAAGCCACTCAGATACGGAAAGAGAGAAGTTTAATCCCTTCTACCTTTGTTTATCTTTTTTTCTGCAACATTTCTTGCCCTCTTATGGCTAGACAGCTCTCTCGTCCCAAATTGGTCCTTAGTCTTTCAGGTCCTCCTTTCCACAAACAAACCTCTGTCACAGTAGTTCAATATAATGTTGAAAAGTTGATAGACGTTTAAGTCTGCCAAAAGT